GAGGGAGGCCGGGACGCCGCGCTCTGCGCTCAGCGCCCGGAGCGGACGGAAGGATTTCGGGCTATTCTGGGCTCTGAAAGCGCCCACTCTGGGAAGCACTTGCCTCTTCCTTGTGGAGAGCCCGAGCCGGAGCCGGGCGCGGGGTGCCGCGGGTTGGCGCTGGCACGAGTTGGAGGCCACTCTGAGAAAGCCATAGTTTGCCTCTAAGGGCTTCCTCTTCCTCCCGCATTTGAACTCGCAGATGTCTTCTGATGAAAGCGCGCTGCCGCTAAGTTGAGCGCCTTAATAAGGAACCGATTCCGAAATTTTATAAAACTTCTTCAAAAGCCGTTTGGGGGGAAAGTGTGCTCGTTCTTCTCAGGACCGCTAGGTGGCGCTGGTGCAAGCCGACTTTTCCTCCAGCACTTGGGGTGAAGAACCTGTTTCTCTTCATTGTCCCCATGGTGGCACGTTCATGTAGTTTATTTTACAGCGTGCACAAAGGGATTGCGAGGGAAGTCAGGTACGGGCAGGACCACTACCAGTAGGTTTCTCTGGAAACAGCTAGTGATTACCTCAGAAAAGATTACCATTATTGAAAATGCTTACTGAAGCTGCCTTGGACAATTCGGGGGAGAGGAAAAGACAAAAAAGTGAAAAATAGTTTGAGAGGGACAGAAAAATATGCCATCAGGAAATATTTTATGGTAATTTATTTAGATTTGTATATTTATATCCTCACCAACTTACCTCGAGGTTATTTGCATACCATAGCAGAGTGTGTGCCTAGTTAAATCTGTTTGGTCACCTTTTGTTTTAAAATGAAGTCCTATTTCCTGATGAAAGCAAATGTAAGGATATCATTATTTTTATTAAGTTATCAGAGAAGTAGCTGTTACATTTATGGACTCTATATTTTTTATATATCTGTTGCATTCCAAAGTTGCTATTGATAAGGGTTTTCTCCTACTGATAATTTTAAAAGGAGCTCAGAACTCTTTCTCAGGTTTAATTCAGATGCAGTCATCTCCACCCACTAGTCAATTAAGCCCTCTATGGAAAAAGAGGTTTCTTACAGGTTAAAGCTGAGAATTGGGAAGTAAAAAATAAGTAGACTTTGATTTTGGAATTTTAAAGTATTTTAAACTATTAACCAGGGTTTGAAATGATCAACAGCAACATGTCAGTGTGTGAAAGAGAATAATTATTTCAACAATTGTGTCACAAAATTTTCAAACGTTAGGGGGCTAGAAATACATAACGAAATTAGTGTGAGTTTTTGAGTGGCTTAAAGAGGGATCCATGTAAAGTCATCTTAAAGTTAATTGATGTAGTGTATTGATAGTACTAGCAACCCTTCCTACCCCTTCTCCTGTTGTAGGTCTCTTTTAAATTTTTTCCCGAAACTTAACCTGAGTTTCTTTCTCTCTTAATATTACAGTTGCTACAGGTAGATGGAAAATACTACTTATAAGTATAATAAACAACAAAAAGTCACCATTTGGCAAAAACTGCTAAGACAGTAAAGCCAGTTGTTGGGAAATGGATGGTGGTATGGCCAAGGATGCTTTACTCTCTCAGGAGAGTTTAATTACTAGCCACCCCACAGGTCCGCAGATCCGAGGCTGCTATGCAGTCAGCCCACCTGGCAGGTTTAAGTGAGATAGGTGCAGAGTTGGTGCCCTGTTGCCAACCCACAGCATCCTTAAGGTGAAGAGGGTCAGAGCTTAATTCTGTTTTCGGAGTTTAAACTCCTTTTAACCAAAGGGGCACGTACTTTGCGGAGGCGGGTCTGGGGTGGAGGCCGGAAGGCCGCCTTGTTTGGATGGAAGAGGGGATGGAGGGACCCCCAGAAGCCAGCCCCTGAGTCTGGCGTGTAAGACGATTACACCTCTTCCTGGGGGACATTTGCTGTGAGCTTCTTTCATGCTTGCCACGCAAGGATTTTTTCCCCCTGCAGCGAAAGATATCTCTTTGCTAGTTTTGGGGAGAACCCCAAAGGTTTGCCCAGGGTAGGGGGTCCTATGCTTTGCTCCTCTTGCCTTGGGGTTTGCGCACTGCTAACCCTGCTCTTCGGGGCTCTTCACCCATTTTCTCTGCTCCAGGCCTACTCCTCAGTCCCAGTCAGCAACATGAACTCGGGCCTGGGCTCCATGAATTCCATGAACACCTACATGACCATGAACACCATGACCACAAGCGGCAACATGACCCCAGCTTCATTCAATATGTCCTACGCAAATCCGGGCCTGGGCGCTGGCCTGAGCCCCGGCACGGTGGCTGGCATGCCCGGGGGCTCCGGGGGCGCCATGAACAGCATGACAGCGGCGGGAGTGACGGCCATGGGGACTACGCTGAGCCCCGGCGGCATGGGCGCCATGGGCGGGCAGCCTGGGGCCTCCATGAACGGCCTGGGCCCCTACGCCGCTGCCATGAACCCCTGCATGAGCCCCATGGCGTACGCGCCGTCCAACCTGGGCCGCAGCCGGGCTGGGGGCAGTGGAGATGCCAAGACTTTCAAGCGCAGCTACCCGCATGCCAAGCCGCCCTACTCTTACATCTCGCTCATCACCATGGCCATCCAGCAGGCCCCCAGCAAGATGCTCACGCTGAGTGAGATCTACCAGTGGATCATGGACCTCTTCCCCTATTACCGGCAGAACCAGCAGCGCTGGCAGAACTCCATCCGCCACTCGCTGTCCTTCAACGACTGCTTCGTCAAAGTGGCGCGCTCCCCGGACAAGCCGGGCAAGGGCTCCTACTGGACGCTGCACCCGGACTCGGGCAACATGTTTGAAAACGGCTGTTACTTGCGCCGCCAGAAGCGCTTCAAGTGCGAGAAGCAGCCAGGGGCCGGGGGCGGGAGCGGGGGCAGTGGGGGCGCCAAGGGCGGCCCCGAGAGCCGAAAGGACCCCTCGGCCTCTGCCAATGGCAGCGGCGACTCGCCCCTTCATCGGGGGGTTCACAGTAAGGCCGGCCAGCTAGAGGGCGCACCGGCCCCGGGGCCCGCTGCCAGCCCCCAGACTCTGGACCACAGCGGGGCGAGCGCTACAGGGGGCGCGTCGGAGCTGAAGACTCCGGCCTCCTCAGCTGCGCCCCCAATCAGCTCTGGGCCTGGGGCTCTGGTATCGGTGCCCCCGTCCCACCCGGTGCATGGGCTGGCGCCTCACGAGTCCCAGCTACACCTCAAAGGGGATCCCCACTACTCCTTCAACCACCCCTTCTCCATCAACAACCTCATGTCTTCGGATCAGCAGCACAAGCTGGACTTCAAGGCGTACGAGCAGGCGCTGCAGTACTCGCCCTACGGCGCCGCGCTGCCCGCCAGCCTGCCGCTGGGCAGCGCCTCGGTGGCCGCGCGGAGCCCCATCGAGCCCTCAGCCCTGGAGCCGGCCTACTACCAAGGTGTGTATTCCAGACCTGTCCTAAACACTTCCTAGCTCTGCTAGACTAGGGGTTTATTTGTGGTGACCGTGCCGGTAGCAGGAGAGGGGGAAAACAAAAGCAAATAAAACCACACATACCAAGCCGACGACAGCGTAATAAAATACCAACTATTTTTATTTTTGTGTGTGTGTGCACAATCTTTTTCCCAGTGCAAAGGACTGTTACTTTGTTGTTCTTCAGATGCCTAGTGTATATTATTTGGAAGAAAACCAACCCCAGACCAACAGAGGTTTTTTTTTTCCCCCTGCAAAGTTGAATGATCCACATGTGTATATATAAAATCCTCCTACTTCCGTATCCCTTGCCCTTTCTTTCCACTTTCCCCTCCAGACACATTCTAGTGTGTGCAGGTTTTATTTAAAAAAAAAAAAAAAAAGAAAGATGGTCACGCTTGTAAAATATTTGTTTGTACTTTTATTCCCTTCTCACCTGGCCGCCTCCCCC